GCCTGCGATTTCGCAGCAATCGTGGTAGGTTACTTTTTCGTATTTCAGGCGTATAATATTGCAGATAAGAGAATTTTTTATGGATCTTACTTTTTCTCTCAAATGCACACTGGAGGTTGAATAAAAAGAAATAGTATTCTTGTTTAGGTTAAGGGTGCGTTTACAGATACAAGTCTTAGTGTCGCCAGCTCTAGCGTCGGTCATTCTGCGTGCATTGAAATGTGTTTCTCCGAAAGACTGAGAACTTTGTCGATGGACATGTCTAGGCCCCTAATAATCGTTGTCGCATTAATGCTATGACCATCAATGCTCAGTTGGGGTGGATGACCAGTGTCAAAACCGTGACTGAACAATTGTGCCAATCGATGGTAAGGAGTCGTACACAACACCATTTATTACTGCCATCACGAGATACCTGGTAGGTGACTTGTATGTTTTTCACGTATATGGAGGGCTTGCCATACCTAACTACAGTTAGTGTATAATTTACAAAAAGGTCGAATGGAAGCGGGGGGAAAAGCACTGCTCTGAATAACTCCAGTCTCTTATATATGGGGAGTTAGAGGTAATACTGGAGATCAGGGCTACATATATGCTAGGAGTAAGAAACACTATAAAGAACTGTTTTTACTATTTTTAAAGGAGTTTTTGTTCAGAAGACTTGTTGGTCGACGTCTCGCCACCTGGATGACATTCTCTGACCTGTACAGTCCAGAAGGGTCGGCATTGCTGAAATGTCTACACTGGTTCAGTTAATTGAATCCCCAAAAGTAATGCTTTAGAACTAGGGAAGGTAATTTTTGAAAAAAATGTCCGGCACAGAGAGCACTCAGATATAAATGAAACATACAAAATACTAGAAATTGTTGGATATGATACGCATTCGTCTGCCAGAAAAAGAGGAATATAAAAACGCCGGTGAATTTGTTAAAAGCAGTTTGCATTTTCTTGTCTATACACAATTCCTGTCACACTCGATATCGTAACTCACTGTGTGCGAGGCTTTAGGCAGGCAGATACTAAATTTACGATATTTTACTCTATCGCGAAGGAACGAATCCTCAAATCAAGAAGAGAATGTACAGTACGATCAGTTATTTAAATGAAATCGGAAAAAAATTCCTGCAGAAAGCGACAGATGTAAAAGGTCCTGAGATATAATGAGAAACGGAACAGAGCTGCGCCACCAGATCGCGCTTTTCAGGTTTTCAACAGACGGGATAACTCAGAACTCGCAGTCAGCCCAGTGTGTGTTTGTGTGGTGGCGGACTGTTGGACTAAGAGTCAGGCTGCAATGGTCCCTTCGTAATGTGACCTCTGTGGCGCTCCCACTCCGCGGGGATCCGAGCGGCGTGCACCTAGGGGCGGCTGCAGTAACGCCAGCCACCCGCGCCCTCTCCCATCTCCGGTACTATTGACTTTGTCTTGGCAGCAAGCCAAGGTATCGCAGAAGGAGGATCCGGTGCTGTGGATGTTGTGCAAACATATTTATCATTATAAATTAATTTACACGCAGGTCACCGTCACCCTGCCGTTACCCTGATGTGCAGCACACAGAGGAACTTGTCGAAACCGACAGTCCAATTGTCATCTGTTTTATAATACAGGTCTTATTCATGAACTGGCGGTTGTGGACCGATTCTTTTCCAAACCAAAGAAAACGGGAACACTTGGACGGAGGCATGAACATTTATGAAAAAGGAAGAGGTTCTTCGGAAAAAATCGAGTTTTACTCGTGAATTTTCGAATTGGTAACACCAACCCGTCGTCAGACGAAATGAAGAGAAAAGAGAGAGTGAGACAGTCACGCTAGACTAATAGACGAGACAGGACAAACATTGGCGGACGAACTATTAGCGTGTGAGGAGGGATGCGGGTAGGGAGTCATGCTGGGTTCTGAGCCGGGAGGGTAGGAAGGGGGGGGAACCGTTACGGCTGCCGTGTTGGAGGGGAGGGAGAAGGGTAGGTTGGCAGAACTGCGGGCGCCTGGATTAGCGGCTGCTGATGCGGCGTGGGGCTCGGCTTAGTAAGGCGTGATCTTAGGCCCTCATAATGGACGTCTAGGTCAACATGGCGGTTGATGCTATCCGCGTTAGAGTGCCATGCCTCTAGGAATTCTCTCGCCCGTTTTGTGTTGGCCGTGGCGATGACCTCGGTGTTATCCCAATTAAAACGGTGGTCGCACTGGAGTGCGTGTGCAAAGACGAGGGACAGTGGATCAAGGCGACGGACAGCTAGTTTGTTTCATTAATACGAGTTCCCAGGCGTCGTCCTGTATGACCAACATATACGCAGGGGCAATTGGCACACAGGATGCGATAAATGACGTTAGTCTGTTCCTCTTTGGGGACAGAATCCTTTACTCGAGTTAAGATTGTGCGCAGCGAGGATGCAGGTTTGTGGGAAACGCGAATACCGAACTGACTTAACTGACGGGGGATCATTTCTGAGGTCCCCTGCATATAGGGCAGGGAGAAGAATTTCCGCGTCACGGTTTCTCCATCTGAGGAGGGGTCTCGAGGTTGTGCCTGACGTCTGAGGCAGTTCTTCACGAAACTGACTGGATATCCGTTAGATCGAAATAGCCGATATAGAAAGCCTAGTTCTTTCTTCAGCAGATCTTCATTGCTGCAATACCGGTAGGCCCGGTGGAAGAGGGTTCGGACACAGCTTCTTTTGTGAGCCGCAGGGTGATTGCTTCCATAATTGAGGATCATCTCAGAATCAGACCCTTTTTTATGGACGCTGGTTGCGAGGTTACCGTCATCCAGCCTTTGTATTTTCACGTCCAGAAATGACAGAGTGTCTCCTACTGCCTCTTCGCGGGTAAATTGTATGGCCGGAAAGACTTCATTCAGCCTCTGATGTAGGCTTTCGACGTCGCGGTTCTTTATTACGACAAAGGTGTCGTCTACATAGCGGAGCCACATTTTGGGGTTGAGAGTTTGAAAAACCTCATGTTCTAGTCGCTGTAGCACTAGTTCGGCGAGTAGACCGGATATTGGGGAGCCCA